AATCTCTTTGTTCTCTAAATGTTTGTGAACCACAAACCCCGAATATTTTGGTTGAGAAAAAATATGAGAAAAACAAACTTTTTGAAAAAGAAGAATTATTCAAATTTTCAAAAGGAGAATGGATCCCACCTGGGATTGAAGTGATACCAGAGAAGAAATCTCGGCCTTACTGGAGAAGGCTGAAAAAGAAAAATGAAACAAGGGACGTTCACGATCCCACATAAAAGAAAAAATATATATATATAACGTCGTGCCGCGACATTAAATCAAGCGCTTCTTGGGAGGCAACCCAATTTCTTCATTTTTATTTTTAAATTTTTTCAGTAGTGTGTGTTTTAAAAAAAACAAAAAAAAAATGAACTGGGATTGGACCCGGCCGGGTATAAACCCTAACCCGGTCGGGTTACTTCTAAAAACAAAACACCCGGGCAACCACCCGGGCGAGGCGAGAGCAAAACAAAAATTAATTTTGCGCCCGACCGGGTAGACTTTTATACCCGGCCGGGCAACCCAGCTAAACCTTTCTGCCTCGGATGAACAGTTTACACCCGACCGGGTAGACCACTTCACCCGGCCGGGCCACCCAACAAAAAACATTCTGCCTCGGGTAAATAGCGTACACCCGACCGGGTAAACTACCCCACCCGACCGGGCGAACGGGAAAACACAGCTATACCAGGTCGGGCTCAACCTTTCCCCTCCCACTTCTTCTTCCTCCCAACACCCAAAACACCCAAATTCCACCATTTTCAAACACCCCAACCTTCGAATCTCCCCATTTCCTTAACCAAATCCACTAAAAACCCCATTTTCTTCATCTCCTCACTTCCCTCTTCATCTCTATACCCATAAAATCCCCCAAAACCTTCCAAATCAACCAAACCCAAAAACCCTACCCAAAATTCGAAAATCCCCATTCTTGGACATTCAAGGTCTGAAATCTCCCCAAAAATCCTCAACCAATACCATATTCTTACTCTTCTCACCATCCTCTTCAACCCCATACCCATAAAAGCCATCCAAATCCCACCCTACCCCAAAGTCCGAAAATCCCTTTAAAAAAAATCAATTCCCATGGCCCCAAAAAAATCCAAAGCTTCTTCTTCAAGGGCTATCCCACCGGTAGCGGGCTATGAAAGCGTGGAATTTGCAACGGAGGCACAAAAGCGACTCTTCGAGGGACAAGCACAAAGGGAGGTAAAACAATCCCGATTCATGTGCATTACTACTCTAGCCCTCCTTTGGATTGATGTGATCATGCGTGATATATTTGCAAGAATTGGAATGACTAGGTTGCTAGAAATGCAATATGTGACTTATCCTCATTTGGTTTATGAATTCTTTAGTTCATATGTGTATACAAAGGATGATGATGATCATGCAAATGACACCATCACATTTCGTTTACTCAATGAAAATCGTTCATTAACCAAAAGAGAATTTGCACATCATTTTGGCCTCCCTCTGTTTGATGAAGCTCGTGCTTATGATACGTTTGTGGGGTACGAGTTATGGAAAAGAATGACAGGACACGGTGTGGTGGACCTTTCTAAGTTGAGTGTGAACTGTGTTCAACACCCGGTCTTCCGTATTTTCCTAAAATTCTGTTCAAATTGTTTCCTCGGAAGACCGAACAATCACCACACAAGAATGTGGGATGTGTGTGTTCTGGCACAAGCTGTTTTACCTGGACCAGAACCAGTTGACGTTTCCTCTATCTTATGGACCCATTTCAAAAATGTGGCAACGTCATCCAGACAAATTGTGATAGGGGGCCTAATCACACATCTAGCCACTTTATATGGCTTTGTAGACCCAGGCCCCATTACTCCGAAACAGCTCATTTGCACGTCATGGCTTGTGCAAAAGACCAAAGATTTGGCTCTATCTCACATGACACCTACTGGTTATCAATCTCAATTGATTTCATCAAGGAGTTAGAAAGATTAAATGCTACTATTAAATCGGTATAAGGCGTTGTTCTATATTTGATTAATAGTAAGGGTTATTAATGAACGGTTGTTGTTAATAATTACCCTCGATGAAGTGGATATACTCCCCGATTGAGTATTCGAGAGGGAATAAGTTATAGATATAACAATGATCGACTAAAATATATCAACAAGTGGAAAGTAGCAATGCCAAGTCCTTTTTATCCTTGAATTAAACACATATAGGTTGTTCATCTTAGTTCTTAATTAAATCAAATCACTCAATCCAAATCCCCCCTTTTTATTTACTAAGTTTCATAAAAAGAGAATTATTCCTTTCCCTGTGGATACGAACTCTACTACGCTATACTACGTATAAGTGTTAGTATTGAAATTTATTTTGACGCACCGTGACAAAGTGCTCGTCATTAGGCGGACTCCCGTCTTCTGGGACCCCTGGCCTTAAGGGAGGCCAGGTAAACTCCATAGAGTTAAGTGACTGATAAGTTCGTATTACAACACGCATTTGATGCGTGTTGGGATCAGCTTTTTGATAATTTTTCATTGCTTTAAGGGTTTTATGTCTCAATATTAGCTCAAGTCATATTTACCGGACGTTGGTACGAGTTTGGTATCTTTTGGAGTCAACATCAAAGAATTTGAGCCCGGCACCGGCGCGTGAAAAGCATTTGAGAAGAGTTGAGGAGCATTCGAAAAAGATTTGAGAGATTTGGAGGTCACCGGGAGGTTCACGACGAAGAATCGTTGAAGAAAGAGTCTTTGGAACATAGTTGACCCCTAATGGACCAATTAAGGTTGTTGAGGCCGAACGTCTTCAGGACTCGGGCGTGCGTCCAATCGGCACCTCAACCTGGACCGTGCCCAGGTTGGCCCTTGACGGTTCTCTTGCTTAGCGGTGATGGGTCGATCCAGTATCGGGCATATTAACTCAACAAACAGGTTACCTGCTGACGCGACGCACACGTGGCAGTCGACGTCACACCCCCCCCCCCCCTCTTCCTTTGCGCAGACCTGTTTCTCTTCTTCTATGGCCTAAATTCACAAACAAGGGTTTTCTTGTTCCTTTGCATTTTCTCTCTTTGTTCACATTTGCGTAGAAGCGACAAAAGGAAGATCCAGAGCATCATCGGAGTTTGATTCGAGCAGATTAGAAAAATTAAGATTAGATTGGAAATATTCACACCACATATGAAAAATTCAAATCAAATCAGACCTTAAAAAACTAGATATAAAAATTCAGAATGGACGAAAGGAATAACTTCTAACTGTGTCAATTTCACAATACTGAAAGGACTAAATGTGAGGAATTTTGATGTTGATTAAAAGCGTCTCTCACAGAATTGTCAAAGTACTAAAAATGGAAAAATTATAAATTGAGCACCAAAAGTGTCATAGCCACAATAGTTAGAGACTAAATCTGACAAAAGTTCTACAATAGTTAGCGAATAGCGGATAGCAGGTTATGTTAGCGGGTTGTCAATAGCAGATTTGATCAGCGGGTTTGACTAACGGAATAAATTGGCGGATTATCAAAAGATGTTTGGTAATTTAGTTATTTGGACATAAAATTAGTACAAAACGCTATTTTTCAAAACGCCAACCCAAAACTCTCCTATTATCAATGTTTTCATTTCCGCGTTTCCGTCCAAAAAGTTAGTGTTGAACAACTATTTATCAAACAATTTTCACTTATTAAAAACGCTATAAATGGTTGTTGAGGTTTATTCCCTTCAACCCGTAGGTCCAACACACAACCTAAGGACTTCGAGTGGGTATTTTAGGAGAATAAGGTCAAACAAGTAAGATGAGGCCCAATAAGAAGTCTTGGTTTAATTCCACTGTTACAAGGCGTGAGGCCGTTCGTACCTACAAGGTGTGAGGCCGTTCGTACTTACAAGGCGTGAGGCCGTTCGTACTTACAAGGCGTGAGGTCGTTCGTACTTACAAGACGTGAGGCCGTTCGTACTTACAAGGTGTGAAGCCATTCGTACTTATGCAGTGCTACGAGATAATAAGAATGCTATAATACTAGAGTGCTAAGTTGTCTTCCATTTACAATGAAATAAATGCTACTATTTATACTGCCAATGGATAATTAGATGCATTGAACCCAGCTGTGGATGACTTGATCCCAACCACCAAATATTCTGTATTAAATGCGCAATCGCCAGGATCTTAGCTTCCCGCCAAGAGGTGGGGAGGTTCGTCCCCTTGGGCTTGCCTAGCTTGATCCCGACCATCAAATCTTCTGCATTAACTGCGCAACCACCAAATATTCTGTATTAAATGCAGAATCCGGACAGGATTTTGGTTGTCCACTAAGGGGTGGGGACGTTTGTCCCCATAAGCTTGCCTTCTGTTTCCTGCGAGCCGTGCGTCTCGTTCTGCTCCTGGGCCTAGGTACCTGCCCACGCTAGGATACGTACGTCTCCTGGATAATCGAGAGGGTATCCGCTTGTCTTGGGCCTTCTTGAGACATCCGTCCCCATGAGCCTAAGGGTTTTTGGGCCAACCACCATTGGGCCATTAACCCAACTGGTCAAACCGCCATTTTTCAATTGAAACGCCGTTTATCAAACTCCTCCATAGTCTTTTTTGACAATATAAGTTGTGTATAGTTAATGTATAACTTTTTGATTTGGACAAGGTACAAGTGTACGACTCTTACTCAAAATACTACGTACGACGTAAGACTTACGAGTTAAGATGAATTGCACTAATCTTTTAATGTTGCATTTTGGTTTTAATTAATTTTGCTTCTTCTGCCTCAATTTGATTTGCAAAAGTTCCTATTTTAATTATTCAAAAATGATTTTTAAATTTCAATTTTAAGTATGAAAAAACGAATGAAGTCATAAATTTACTCGTACATTTGCCCTTTTTCTATTTACATAAATACATTCTTATTTGCGGGAGATAAGGTAAAATAGTAACGCTAAAATTTACTTATTTTCTTATTTACTATGTTGCACGGAAACACGAAAATCATGAAGAAACGGGAACGGGAAATGTCAACTGTTGATAAAAAAACACTTGTCGGAGAGTTTCCAAAAATTTCCATAGAGTTTCCGAAACGGAAACGTACAATTTCACAAGAGTTTCTGGGCTACATAGCTTTGATGAAACAATGCATAGTTGAACAGAGAGTTGTTTTAAGTTGAAAAGAGTTAGATTTGACAGATTGAGCTCGGTAAGTGTATATCAAGCAAGGTATTTATATTTCTTTTGCTAATAATAGGAGAACTTAGCTTGCAGAACAATGCCTACGACCAGAGACACAAATTCAATAATTTACATTTCATTCGATCTTGAAGTTGTGTTTGTGTGTACTAGTAATACATTGTGACGTATCTGCTGGTAAGTATTGCTGTCTTAATCGATATTTGAATCTGCAACTCCCACAACAAGCGGCGAAGTAACCCAGATGTCCTTGCTCCTCCATGACAACGAACCAAAAACATATCCTTGTGTTGGAGCAGCCACCTTAAAGATTAAGGTGAAGTTAAGCTTCTCACCATAGTGACTAAATGAGAGCTGTCTAGGCAGCACGGTCACATTGATTCCCTTTGGAGGATACACCACCCCCTTGTACACGCTCATTGCCTTTCCCACATTTGTCACTGTCCTAGTGACCAAAACCTCCCCATTGAGGGCTGGAACGGTGATGGATGGATAGTTAAGGGCAGAGGGCGAAGGGGGCGTTTGATCACAAGTTGTGTTGTCTCCGGTGATCAAGTGCAGCGATTTCTCATCATGACCGCCGATCGAGCAAAGGAAGGCTTTGTAATCTGTTGGTTGCGCATCATACACTAACCCGGGGTCAAGGACTCTGGTTGGGGTAATGAAACCCGCGCCATAGTCAAATGCATTTGCCCTTCTCCCATCTGGGTCCGCAGAAATGGGCTTGTGAAGCTTGTTCAAAACTGTAGCTGCACGGTTGTTACCCTATTTAAATTCATTCATGCTTTACAAATTCAATTTAAACCACCTAACTCTACATGACTGCCACTTTCCAACGTCATTATATAGTGGTGAGTTAGAGTCTGGGGTTTCGGAAACCTGATTCATGTGAAGCCAAATCAGACTCTAGGTAACGTTTACCTGTAGTCATGATTGCAGATTTGATCGCAGACGGAGACCATGAGGGATGAACAGCTTTTATCAAGGCTACAATTCCTGTGACATGAGGGCAAGCCATGGAAGTTCCAGAGAGTACATTATAGTTCACTTTTGCCGCTGCTTCTGGAGACCAAGCTGCTAGGATATTCAAACCTGGAGCCGCAATGTCTGGCTGCAAATGCCACAAAAAAGAAACAGACAAAATTTATTCAGCTGGTAGTCCTTAACAGCCAGAATTTTCACCAAACATTAAATAATTTGTGAATAGAAATTAGCATATCAGTTGTTTTTAGGGATATAGAGTAAGTTAAAGAAAATGGCATTTCTACCTTCAAATGGAAATGAATTACTTGACACGCGTATTGTGAAATGTATTTGGCACGAGTATCCTTTAGTTTATTCAGGAAATACATTGCAGTTAAAATTTTATAGATAATTCAGCGGATTAAACCATTTTGTTTTATGCACACCATTTTTTACACCAACTCTCACTATCCTTGGCATAAGATCACCTTCAATATTTCTGGAGTTACAGAATTAGGGCCTCTTGAAGAGAAGGCGGCCACACGTGGAGCAGGCCGAGTACCTAATACAGTCTTTGCTGATAGAATCCTTGACAAAGGTAATCTGTTGGAAAATCCAAGGAAAAAGCACCAGTTAACTATTGGGCCCGTGTTGAGGAATGTAGATTTTTTTGTTTAAAGAAAGAAAATAAAACAGAAAAGAAAACGGTAAACATATGGATTAATGGATAGATATGAGAGAGAGCGTAACAGTGGTGAAGATAAGAAAAAATTGTGGTGTACATATATATGTATAAATACTTATAAGCAGTAAAAACTACATTGAAATTTTTAAGTATTGCTTCCCCAAAATAAATTTTTGAAGCTTCGGCCCCTCTAATGCTCTAGTCATGCTAGTTATAATGCTTTCACCCTAGACTAAAAAAACTTGTTACTTTTTAATGTGTGTGCCAAAGGCAAAGGCCTAAAAATCATAAGATGACAGCTGAACATAGAGGGAGTGCCAGAACCTTGTTTTATTAATGTAAGAAAGGATCTTATCTCCTGTTTGTTTCCCAACAATGGCAGCAGGAATGACAAAGGGAACAGCAACATCTTTATCTGCATCATCAATCAAAACCATCCCAATCCCACCTGCGTCTTTGACCACCACGCTCTTTGCCACCTTTGACTCGGTCGAGCTCTCTGCATGTCGGCACACAAGAACCTTCCCCGTCGCCTTCGTTCTATTCAGAGAACTCTCCAGACAGTAACTAGTGAAAAAAGATTATTGCAGAGAAGAGGAAAAGTAGAGAGGTCTTTAGATCATAATGTGATGGACGGCTAGGATTTCATAGATAGCCAAGTAGATTGTTGCTTCACCTGGATTGATACGGCGTGAAATATCCATTGAAAGCAGTGGATGCAGGTATGATTATTGTGGAGTTTGTCATTTCAACTAAGCTTAGGCTTTCACCCTTTCAACATTAAGAGTAAGAAACCGATGAGAAATTAAGAACATATACTACGTATATGATAGTTGTCTTATGAACTTTGCGTTGTTTTTAGGCCCTATTTAGTTCAGCAAAGTTAAATTATGCCAGTTAATAGATATATACTCCATTATAATAATCCTAGTCCCATAAATAACTTCTATTTTGCCTAGATAAAAGTTGTTTACATGACTGATGTGATGAATAATATGAAAGCACATGATCTATTCCATCAATAGAAAGTATAATTTAGAGTTTTTGCTACTTTTAGTCCTCTGACTATTATGTCACCGACACTTTTGGTACTCGACTTTGAACTTTTTCACTTTTAGTCCTTCAACTATTGTGCGACAGACACTTTTGGTATCCGTCTTTGAAAATTTTCATATTTAATCCTTCAACTTTCATAAAAGTTACACTATTGGTCCTTCAACTATTATATTAGTGATATTTTTAGTCCTCCACTTATTGTGTCAAATTCATAGTGGAAGGACTAAAAGTGTCAATTTTATAATACTCAAGTGACTAAATGTGGAAAACATTAAAGTCGAAGACCAAAAATGGAAAAATTGAAAGTCAAGTACCAAAAGTGTCACTGACTCAATAGTCGAGGGACCGAAAATGAAAATAACTCATGAAATTTGTTACAGAATGGAGGAAACACGTAACTTTTGTTTTCGCGCGCTGAATTGTATAATAATAAGAAAAAGTAAGGTTGAACTTACTTTTCTAACTGTATTGCCTGAAGTTACTTTAGATAACCATTTTAGCTATTTTTACATATATTTTTTTCTTTATTTTATTCATAAAATATATTTTAAAACTATTTTTTTCTTAAATCAGCAAAATCGGCCAATGCAGTCACTTCAGCCAAAAACTTTATAAATTTCAAGAGAATCAGCCGAATCAACCGATTTTCGTGTTACCAAACGGGCTCTTAGTATAATACTCTATAATAGTAATAATAATAACATTAACCTTGATAATAGTAATGCTAATAACTAGGGATGGCAATTTAACCCGACCTGATGGATACCCGCACCGAACCGAACCGGTCAAAATGGGGAAAACCGCTTTGACTGGGTAACGGGTACAGGGCGGGGAATGCCCGATTTGTGTAAACAGGTAATGGGGCGGTTATGGGTATATAGCTACCCGCCCCGTTACCCGCCCCGTTACCCGCCCCGTTTAATTTGGATACAAATACCTGCACCATTACTCGACCCGCACAGTTAACTTACATATTTTAATAGTTTATGTATTTATTATTTAATATATTAAGTATATATGAATAGTAGTACATTAGTATATCACACTTATTCCGTTTAATTTTTTGAAAAATATTCAACTAATCGGCTATCCTTTGCAATTTTGAGGAGTTGGTGCTCAAAGTTCACTATTTTAGATTTTTAATTTTCAATATCATTCATCATCCTTTTTTGTTAACTTCTAGAAGATTTATTTTCTTCACATATTGATTATTTGATTTTTGTGATTTTCGGTACACACTTTTCCCATTGTGACTCTTAATTTTTCACCCAATAATTTTCATAAAGCTCACATATGAATTTAAAGCCCAAATATTGGGAAACACTACTCTAGATTGCTTTAATTTATGTAATTGCTAATAATTTTGTAGATGTGTATTGGATGAATTAGATTAATTTTGATTGGTTGCTTTAATTTATATCAAGTTTTAAATTTAAATTATTAGGTTTAAAGTTGTGGACAAAAAATGCGACTCTAGTAACTTTAGTGTTTATAATTTTATTCAAATGTTATATTGTAGTGACTATAAAACTTACCCATGATAACTTATAGTCACATTTGTGTCCATATATTTTTTAGAATTTTTGCCATTTTTGGCCCCCCCGACTATTATGTAAATGACAGTTTTGGTACTCGACTTTTAATTTTTTCATTTTTAGTCATCGACTATTGTGCTAGAGACACTTTTAGTCCTCGACTTCAAGGTTTCCCACATTTAGTCCCTAAGTATTATCAAATTAACACTTTTAGTCCTCCCATTATGATTTTGAAAAAATAAGTTGAGGACTAAAAATGTCACTATTATAATAGTTGAAGGACCAAAAGTGTCATTTTTATGAAAGTTGAAGGACTAAATATGGAAATTTTCAAAAACGGGTACCAAAAGTGTCTCTAGCGCAATAGTCAAGGACTAAAAATGGAAAAAAATCAAAGTCGAGTATCAAAAGTGTCAATGACATAATAGTCGAAGGACTAAAAGTGGAAAAAACTCTATTTTTTATTAGTAATATTTTAGGGAAAAAACCTTCCCATTTTCAATATGTTATACATTACTGTTCTTAAATTTAGATGTTGAATGCTGGTGGGGTGTGTATTGAATTTTTGGAAGTTAAATGTTTTTGTGATTCATATTTAGATTTTACTATCGAGACAAGAGTTAATCTTTTGATGGTGGTAAAAGATTCATAATTTTGAATCTAGACATATAATTTGTGAATATTAGGTTCAAATGATTGTAGCTTTTTGTGATGTTTTAAAAAACTTTATCTGTAGTGCTATTTGATTTTGATTTTTTTAATTTAGGTGGTCAATTATAAGTAATTAATCATCATTTTAGGATTTGTACTAATTTTGAAGAAAAAAATTATCTTTTAATAAAACGATTACCCGCGGGGAAACCGTTACCCGCGGGGAAAACCGTTACCCGCGGATAAGAAATACCCGACGGGTAACGGGACGGTTTCAGAGAAAAATGTTATCAAACGAGGCGGGTACGGGTAATGATATACCTGACCCCGAACCGCCTCGTTGTCATCCCTACTAATAACAACACAAAGAGACTAAGGCAGTGTTTCCAAGTTCCAACCGTTTAAAAATCTCAAAGCTTGGGAAAAGCTAAAATAAGTGTTTTTAAACATCAACTTTTACTTATTTTTAAGTAATTTTAGTGAAAGACTAAAGGCATGCATAGTGATGCTTTTAAATGTTTTTCACTTTTTTATTGCACCAAAAAACACTTTTGCATCAAATACTCGACCTTTTACTTTTCAAAATCACTTATCTTTTCAAAATCAAAAAATGGCTTAAAATATTTTATTTAACTTCAATACATTTGTATAATTTTTGTAATTGTTTATACATGTTTAAAAATTTTAATTTGGAAATTTATAAAAATATTTTTACATCTTCAAAAAAGTGAGAGTTGATAGTTGGGATTACTAAAAAAAGGTCAACTATAGTTGGGATTATTGAAAGCTTACACATACTTCACATTTAAAAATGACATGGTACACAAGACTGTAACAGGTTGGTATGAAGGAGTCGAAGAAGTATGGGTACACAATAATCCCATATTTCATAGTTGACGTCGTGTCGCTGTCTCTGGGCCGGCGACAAGACTGTACACTTATTGAAATAAAACTATTGAAATAAAATAAGTGTACACAAGACTGTACACTTATTTTAGCTTTTCCCAAGCTTTGAGATTTTTAAACGGTTGGAACTTGGAAACACTGTCTTAGTCTCTTTGTGTTGTTATTAGTAGGGATGACAACGAGGCGGTTCGGGGTCAGGTATATCATTACCTGTACCCGCCTCGTTTGATAACATTTTTCTCTGAAACCGTCCCGTTACTTGTCGGGTATTTCTTATCCGCGGGTAACGGTTTTCCCCGCGGGTAACGGTTTCCCCGCGGGTAATCGTTTTATTAAAAGTTTGGAAAGCTTTTGAAGTATGTGTAAGCTTATTGAAAGCTTACACATACTTCATAGTTGGGATTATTGAAAGCTCCATTTTTGGAAAATGATCCCTATAGTTGGGACCACCCAGAAATAATCGATAGTTGAGATTATTAATGTCAAACCGGTAATAGTTGGGATTATTATTTTCAATTTTTCCTAATAAATAAATAAGATGTAATTAAGTAGAGAATAGTTGGTATATAATTACCATAAAAAAAATAGTTGGTATATAATTATGCAGGGCTGAGTATTGACGTTACCGTGAGGTTAACGCCGTTCCCAAATAAGATATGAGAAGTGAAATCCCGGTCCGTAGAAGTAGCGGCAACAGTGATGATCCAAGGGGCGAGGTTTGAAGCGGATCCTTGGAAGCCTTGGTTGCCGGCGGAAGCAACCACCGCAATCCCGTGGCTGACGGCATGGAACGAACCGACTGAGATGGCGTCGTTGAAGTAGTCGACCTGGGGAGCATCCGGGCCCAGAGACAGCGACACGACGTCAACGCCGTCGCTGATGGCGTCATCGAACGCCGCCAGCAGATCCGCGTCGTAACAGCCGGAGTCCCAACAAGCCCTGTAAACAGCTATCCTGGATCGAGGGGCGCCACCTCTGGCTTCTCCAGATGCGAGGAGGCCTTTGTAGCTCATGTTTGCAACGTAACGGCCGGCTGCTGTTGACGCCGTGTGGCTTCCGTGACCCAAGCTGTCCCGGGCTGACTTGAACGACTCCTTCTCCACCATCTCTTCTTCGGCTTCATAGCCACTGGTGTAATATCTCGCACCAACAATCTTCCTGGAGCAATAAAATCAAAATCATCTTCTATCTTTAATGGTACGTCACTCACATTCATGCTAATGCAACATTTCATGTCCAACAACAAGTCAAAGAATAACAAGCTACTGTATTTTGTTGATACCAAAAACAACCTCCACCAAACAAGGCCTAGCACTGCATATACGAAAAACTTCATCTTTCCATACAGTTTGTCCTGTATTTGGTTGGTAATATTTACTTGGTTTGGCATGATTAGTAGTAAATCTTCCTCTCCAATGCAAACAACTGATTTCAAGCTGTCTAAAATCACACCTGTTGCATGTTGAAGCATTGAAGGCCTCTCCTATTTGGCATTGGCCCCTCCATCTCTGTGGCACCTGTGGCATGTCAGCATCACTGAAACTGGATGATTCAGGCCAAATCCCTGTTTGTATATGAAAATAATTAGGCCCGGTCTGTTGAACTATATTATTCCACAGACATTATTAGCTGTAAGCCTGAGGAGCATGTGATGGAGGGGACCGAGCTAAGAAAAAAATACAGTAGGCTTTGAGTTTGAATTGCGAATCACCTTTCTTTCAATTGATATACCCAACAACAATGTTAGCTTCTTTCTGCTACATAAGATTAACAGTTCACTTGAGTGAGATGGACATGAAATCTCTATTCATAAATGATGAGTGGGAGTTCTGGTTCCATCTGAATATACTATTCACTCTACTCTTAATTGCATTGCATTATTATTGTCTAATTCCTATTCCTAGCGTTTTCCACGTTTTGAACCGACTCTCACGAATCATGATAAAAACGATTAGATTCTTTCTACAACGGGTCATGCTTAAGAACAAACGTGACTTTGAGGTCCCTCCAAACACAAAGGGTCAACAAAACTCACGAAACAGAGCTCTGAGGGAGTTGTTCATTAGAACAGGATGCTTTCATTGGGCAGGACCAGACCATATCATATGACTTCCAATTATTGTCTGGACCCACAGTTCCATATTTAAAGCAGATGGTGTTGCAGTCGCATCTCCGTACGCAGTATCAAGAAACTTACAGTATTTTTTAAGCTGTGCAAAAATTTAAAATGTTACTGACAATATACCTCGTATATTAGGATATATATTTTAGTTACATGTATATACATTTTCATTTCCACAATTTAGTTACTAGGTACTTTTTTTAGATGGAAACATAATCCAAGGGGGTCTTTCTCGGAACCTATAATGAGATGAAATAGGCTGATGAATGTACAAATGGTGTTGATGCATTTAAATACATAAACTATTGAATCAATAACAATAACCATTTCCATACACCAGTAAAAACAATAGGTCTAAAAATTACCAAATGTGGCTAAGAATGATAACTCAGATTTAGGCATTTTTTTGTTGAAACTCATTCGTTTTACGTAAAAAGTAAGAAATTTAAAAATGTTCACAGATTGGAATCAAATTTGACTATCCAAGGTAAAAACAAAAAAGTTGAATTGGAAGGAAAAGAAAGGATGAAGCTAAGGGTAATGACCTGTATCAATAAAGCCGATGATAACATTAACTTGGTTCTCGGTGGAAAAGCCTGGAACTTGCATAGTTTCTTGGGCAGTAAGTCCCAAGAAGTCCCAGGAACGAGTTGTATGGAGGATCCTCTTGGCGTTAGGAAATACAGATACCACTGCGGGCATTTCTGTTAACCAATAATGAATTAGATGGATGCATTATATTGCATGTTAATTAATTGTCAAACCATCATTAGCTTACTGGCAATTTCAGTGGCCTGGTCCCGTGTCAGCTTTGCAGCGAACCCATTAAAACCATTCTTATAACTGTACACATGAGATGCCTTGGCCTCCTCAACTCTGCATCATCACCAACTCATCATTGATCTCCCACTCAACCCAATCCCACATTTTTTCTTTATCCATGTCAAACACAAGAAATTAATTTAAAACGATACTGTGATTTTTAGCTCTCGCTCAGTCAAACTAACGCCCATTTGTCTTTGTTTACCGGACCGAATTTCCACGTAAATGTTTTCTGGAATTTCACGCCCAAAACATTGTCGTTGATTCCAGAAAATGCTTGTCAACCCAACAAAAAGATAAAGTAAAATTTGTTTTTCTTTTGCATTATTTTTAGTTGCCCCATGATAGATGATGAAAGATTTTACCCTTGTACTCCGCTTTATATAGATATGAGTATTTATTTCATTTCTCAATATAATAGAGCCCGGCCGGCCTCCTATTTTCATTTTCATGGTGAAAACCTTGTGGGATCAATCAAACAAAAATGCAAGGAGTACATGTTTAGATTGTTCATTACTTGGTACTCCATTATATAACACATCAATGCATATAAAGAAATAAATTTTTATGGGATAATTTGAGTTTGCACCCCACTTTACTGTCGAAATTAGAGTTTGCACCCCGTTTTTGAAATCCTTAGTATTTGCACCTAACCCCGTATGAAAAGACAAGAATGCCCCTCGATCAGAAATATGTTGAAGGCCAACAATATTGTTAACGGAGGGGCATTTTAGTCTTTTCATACGGGGTTGGGGTGCAAATACTAAAGATTTCAAAGATGGGGTGCAAAGTCTAATTTCAACAATAAAGTGTGGTGCAAACTCAAAATATTCCTTGTAACAAATACAGTATATATATGGAATAAATATATTAAACCAAAACTTATTTCAGCAACTTAATTGTCACGGGTTTTGTTCCCTGTTTTATATTCCCAACATTTTCCGTGTTCCCAACTGACCCTATGAAACAACCAGAAAACAGCAATGTTCTCAGTCAAACCAACATTTCAAAGTAATCATCATGTTTTCTAACAGTTTCCCAGAACCTTGCTAACGAAGAGAATCCAGTAAAGCTAGTAAACATTTTCCATCTAAGCCCAAATCCATCGCCTTAAGTTTTTCATTGGAACACTCGTTTTGGATGGACATATACTTAACCGGCCTGCACAAGTTAAAAAACGGAAACTAATTGCAGCTAGAGGGAAGTAATTAATGACCTTCCACCATGAATAGAAGTTAGCATATAGTGATGTTTCTTCGAGATCTCTTCTGGGTCATCGTCTCCCGCTTTGCTCCCCATGTACACCACATACACCTCCATTTTGCGGAAACAAAACCAAAAAATTAAAAGAAACGCCATGGGTACGTACGTACGTAAGCATCCTCACTACATCAAAACCGTACAATGCAATAGTAATACTCCGATCCGTACCTTAGAACAGAAGCATAGATGAACAATCTCTGATAGGAAAACGCAGACAAAGAGAAAAAATGCATTCTTTTTTGGAGAACTCATTAGGTGGCCTGAAGCTTATTAATAATTAAGCTCCGGCTAATCAATGAAAAATGATATGGGTCCTCAGCTTCTGGTTGTGCGAAAGAAAAAGATGACGTTTTTATAAGCTAAGGGAGAAGTGGGGGTTAAAATATAGAGGAGAGGGAAGAATATGTTCTGTTCCGCAACTATACTGTGCTTCTCTCTCATGGAGAAATCGAAAATTTTGATTTTTAACTAAGACAAGGTGAAGAACATTGAAACGTGAAGAGTCCAAGGGGTGGATTAGCTTTTTAACTGAACCGCTGACCAGCCACGAGGCCATCCACCTTTTCCCCCTAGTGACCGTTAAAAAAGATGTTCTATGAGGAATTAGTAGTGGTAAATTTTAAAAATTCATGTATTTTATGCATTTATTTAGTTATAAATAGATATAAAGTACTCCGTATAATTTTAAAAGTTCGCATACACTCTATTTCATACTCCTTCGGTCCCATTTTAGTTAGTTAAACTTGACTTTTCAAGTCAATGACGTCTAACTTTAATCGATTATATGTTTATATAGAGAAAATATTAATAATATGAAAATGATATGAAAATGTTCTTTGTTAAAATCTATATCATAAAAGTATAAAATTATTAAATTTTACATAAATATATTAGTTTAAATAATTGGTCAAAGTTTACCACCTTTGACTGGAAAAAGTCAAAGATGGCTAAGTAAATTGGGACGGAGGTAGTATTTTCTTATGGAGTTTTAAATTTCTGGATTCTCATATACATTTAACACATTTTCAGTACATTAGTTCTCTTCAATAATCCGTGGATAAAAAAAGGGATATTTTGACTTTGCACCCCGCTTTTTGGGTGATATTGGACTTTGCACCCCATTTTTAAAACTCTTAGACTTTGCACTTTATTTCCCATAAAATGTATTTGCCTTTGCACCCCATTCAGGAATTTTTCTTCGCAAAATATTGTAAATAGGGTGCAAAGTCTAAAAGTTTTGAAAATGAGGTGCAAAGTCCAATATCAATTAAAAAGTGGGGTGCAAACTCAAAATTCCCCATAAAAAAATCAACCATAATCCATATACAATGCACCCTTTAATACTCTCATACTCTCTATCTTGATTTAAGCTTCTCAATGGCATGATTATTTAAATAATAATTAAATGATCCTTCTTCGCGAACATGAAGTACTTGGTCCACCTCTTTTTTGAAGGTGAGGAAAATTTATCCTCTTAGCTTCCTTGTAAACTCTACTTTCTTCCTACTTTCTTCCTATTTATAGGACATTTGTTTACGAAGTCACACACAATTCTCCCTACAACACATTATCTCTTCTCTCCCCCATCATCGTTCCTCTGTTCCGCCTTTGGTAGCACTAACAGCTGCAGGTTAGAAACTAGATCTGTAGGAAAAATGGATGGCCATCATCTGATGTGTCGTTCATGGCTTCATCCGCAAGAAGTTCCTATTAGCGTTTTCCCGTTCTGTTCTTCTGTCTACCACTCTGACATACTCGTTGAGAATGGACCATAGTCGGGCGTTGGGTAGTCTCCTAGGCATTGCAGCTCGCCTCCTCAGCCAACTGCCATCTCAATCGGGTGACCTGCCGGCTGCCGCAAGTACTTTGTGTAGCCAGACCGTTCAGCCACCGATTAAGGTTCATCCGGTTACCCCCTCCGATTTGAGGCAAAGTGACGATAAACGCTGCAGCAGAGGAGAAATGGCTGATGGGAAATGCGAGCAGACCGAGATCTGAACAAGCATTGGACCATCCTTCAAGCGCTGCAACATCGCCTCCTCCATATATACATACATCTCTTATCATTTCTTCAATTCTTGCATGATATCTTGATTATTTGTTTATATTCATATTTACTATAGTGGTATTGGTCCACCTCACTACTGGGCCATCCCTGAGCTGCCTTTGGTCCACCTCATTTAAGGAGTTGGTCTCCTATTTAATGCCCTGGCCCAATTGGGCTGTCTACCCGACCAAGCCCATTCCTACCCTGTTTGTCTTATACCCAGCCCATCCCGTGTGGCCCTCTCTTATATTGTCTTGGTGTTCTGGAATCCTCCTATTTCAGCCTCTCCACCTTCTCTCTAAACGATGACTCTTCGGTTCAGTTACCCTAGACCTAGAGTGAGAGAGTGCCGGTTTCCTCTGAGCTTTAGCTCCGGCTTTGCTCCGGTGAAACCTTGGGGTTCCTATTGGGGTCTTCACTCTAGTCTGGTAGTGTGGTGGGTTATCTTTCCTCCGGTAGGTTTTCTGGGCTGGGGTCTGGGTTCTGAGTGTGAGGGTTAGCTGGCTGCCGCCCTTTCGTCTTCCCTGGTTGTACCCCTGGTGGTGAGTGTGAGCAAGCCTTTGGGCTTTGTGGTGATTGAGGTCTGAGCCGGTCCGGTTTTCTAACAGTGGTATCAGAGCCTGGACGTTGCTGCCTCTCTCGGACACCGGAAGCTCACCGGAGAACTCCCACACCGGTAACGTCTGGAGACTCCATCGGAGAAGGTAAGTCGGGTTGTCTCTCCGTGACACCCGCTCAGGTATAAACTTAAACTCTAATCCTTGGGCTGCCGGAGTGCCACCGGCTTCTGTGATGCATGGGTGTTCTGAAACCCTAGGTTGAGGAACTACCGATTAGAAACCCTAGTTTCTTAACCATTGCATGTGTAGTTTTTTGTTTAGACAAAATCTGCAGAAACCCTAGGTTGGTGATATAGTGCATGAGTGGTCCAATCTGTGTCGAACTTGGCCACTGATATATGTGAACTTGTCTGTGTTAAATTTATCCTCTGTGTGATAACCTCTGAACCTGCCTCTGTATTGCTGTAGTGTGCCCTATTTTCTGCTGTATTATTTTTGTATTATTTCTCTGCTCAGTCAGTCTATCAACTTTTCTTCCGCTTCTTTGTGTTGAGTTCTGGTAATTGTGTGGCTTCCTAACCCCTGGTTGGCTAGGGAACCTGAGGTTAGTGCTAAGTGATTCCCTGCCAGCCACTTCAGTGGCCCCGGAACTACGTGGTCACTTAGTCCGTAACCCAAACCACCAGGGTTAAGCCTTTATATTACCTGTATCTCTGTAGTTGTGTTGTGACTGTTATCATGGCTTCAAACCAGTATGGTATGATGCCTTTTAATGGTAAGACTGACTTTGACATTTGGAAACAGAAGATAAAATGTGTGTTAATACAACAGAAAGTTCATAGAGCTATTACTGGGCAATACTTAGAAACTGAGGAAAAACCCAAACAAGTTGAAATGAATGAAATAGCCTGCTCAACCATATATTTAAACTTGTCTGACTCTGTCCTTAGAAAGGTTGGAGTCATTGAGTCTGCTAAAGACCTCTGGGATAAACTTGAGTCTCTATATACTGATACTTCCCTTCCTGGCAAATTGTTTTTGTTGGAAAAGTTTTTTAGGTTTAGACTTGACCTAACAAAAGATATTGATGAAAACCTAGACGTTTTTAACAAACTAATCCAAAACATTAAGCAGGCTGGGGATAAACATATAGATGACTACACTGCCATAGTCTTATTGAATGCTATACCTGATTCCTATAATGATGTTAAGTCTGCCATTAAATATGGGAGGGATGACATAACCCTTGATATTGTTATTAATGGCCTGAGAAGTAAAGAACTTGACTTAAAACATTCTAGGAACCATCATAAGGAATCTGGGGAAGCTTTGTTTGTTAGGGGAAGGTCTAAAAGCAGGTCTAAAAACCCTAAAAAGGACAATCAGGATAAGAATGGTAGACAACCTAGCAAGAAAAGGCATAAGTCTAGGAAAAGGGTGTGCTATAACTGTGGGAACCCAGATCATTTCATAAAAGACTGTACCCAACCCAAAAGAAATGAACAGGCCAACTCTGTGACTGATAAGGAAATTAGTGAAGAAGTGTTCATGGTCTGTGATCAGGCTAATTCTGTCCTAAGCAACCTAACTGAACTTGAATGGTTAATAGATTCAGGTTGTACCTACCACATGACTCCTTTTAAAAATCTGTTTGCTTCTTATAGTGCTTGTGATTCTGGTTGTGTGTCCCTAGCTGACAATAAGAAGTGTAAGGTCCATGGTGTGGGTGACATAAGTCTTAAGTTTGAAAATGGAACTGTTTTCAAATTAAAAAATGTTAGACATGTCCCTGATCTTAGGCACAACCTGCTTTCTGTTTCTGTTTTTGAAGAATGTGGTCTTGAGGGTAAATGGGGAAATGGGTGTATGAAGATTTTGAAAATCTCCCTTGTTTTGTTTAAGGCTTTGAAACAAAATAACCTTTATGTTGTGCATGCCAAACCTTTTTCTGAAAATGCTAATGTTGTAGTCAGTGACAAGTCTGTGCTTTGGCACCAAAGACTGGGTCACATGAGTAATAGAGGATTAAATATTTTGAAACAAACTGGATGTTTTGGTAATGACTTGGTGTCACCCATACCTTTCTGTGAGGGTTGTGTCCTAGGTAAACAACATAGGGTTCAGTTTCCTGTTTCTAGCTATTCTAGTGAGCCTAAGTCTAAAGCTGTCCTTGACTACATACATGCAGATGTATGGGGTCCTTCCAGCGTCCCTACCCATGGGGGTAGGAGGTATTTTCTGTCCATAATTGATGACTTTTCTAGAAAAGTCTGGGTCTGTTTGTTAGAACATAAATCTGATGTGTATGTTAGGTTTAAAGAATGGAAAATTATGGTAGAAAATCAAACTGGATGTAAGGTTAAAACCCTTAGAAGTTAGAACTGACAATGGCTTAGAATTCTGCAATAAGGATATGGATAGGTTGTGTGTTGAGAGTGGGATTAGGAGACACAAAACTGTGCCCTATACTCCCCAACAGAATGGCTTAGCTGAGAGAATGAATAGGACCCTCCTAGACAAGGTTAGGAGTATGCTTGCCACTTCTGGCCTCCCCAAGAAGTTTTGGGGAGAAGCTGTGAATACTGCCACCTACCTGATAAACAGATCCCCCTCTGTACCTTTAGAAGGTAAGTGTCCTGAGTCTGTCTTCTCTAAGAAACCCCTGGACTTGTCAAACTTAAAAGTGTTTGGGTGTGCTGCCTATGTACATCAACAGACTGATAAGTTGGACCCTAGGTCTAAGAAATGCATTTTCTTAGGATATCCTGAAGGTGTTAAAGGATATAGGATCTGGGATAGGAACCAGAGTGGTTTTAAGGTCATTATAAGCAGAAATGTTGTGTTCAATGAAAGTGATTTTCCCTGCTTAGTTAAAAATGTGACTGACCCTCAAACTGTGCATGATGGCACCTCTCCTAGTGAGGTGGAGCCTATCCAGACCACTGCTGCCCCTCTGTTAAATGAGTCTATTACTCCTGATTTGACCAACACTATGCATGACACCCACTCCACCTCTAGTGAGGTGGAGCAGCCCAGTGGTAATGATGAAACTTTGCATGATGTGATTGTTCAATCTGATTTTGCTGATAATGAAGAACTTGGAGAGATCCAAGTTGAGAATGAAAGTCTAGATGATTATGTGTTAGCCAGAGATAGGACTAGAAGAAACATTAAGAGGATTTCTGATAGCATGACTGACTATGCATTTCACCTGTATGATACTTCATTATTTGCTTTCTCTGTTTTTGAAACTCTTGAGTTGAATGAGCCTAAAACCTACCAGGAAGCCCTTGCCTCTAGAGAATCTAAAAATTGGCTATGTGCTATGCAAAGTGAGATAGATTCTCTTAAGTTGAATAAAACCTGGACCCTAGTTCCTAGGACTCCTAATTGTTCTGTTGTTGAGTGCAAATGGCTTTTCAAAGTTAAAGAAGAACCAAATGACATTAGGTTTAAAGCTAGGTTAGTGGCTAAAGGTTTCACTCAAAAGGAAGGGGTAGACTATGCTGAAATTTTTGCTCCAGTAGTAAAATTCACAACAATTAGGATGATGCTTGCCCTAGTTGCCCATAATGACTGGGAGATGAAGCAGATGGATGTTACCACTGCCTTCCTGCATGGTGAACTAGATAAACAGATTTTCATGAGCCAACCTGAGGGTTTCATTGACCCTAAGTACCCTAGACATGTCTGTCTACTTAGGAAGGCCCTCTATGGCCTGAAACAGTCTCCCAGACAATGGAATATCAAGTTTGACCAGTGTATGTCTTCCCTGAGTTTCAAAAGGTCTGATTCTGACCCTTGTTTGTATTTTAAGAATACTGCCTCTGTACCTGTTTTCTTGTTGATCTATGTTGATGAAATGCTTATCATTAGCCCCTCTGTGAATGCTATTAAGATAGTTCAAAAGTGCCTTTGTGAAAACTTTGCTATGAAAGATCTTGGAGATGCTAAGAGAATCCTAGGGATTAATATTCTTAGGGATAGGAGTAGGTGTACCCTTACCCTGAACCAAACCTCCTATCTTGAAAAGGTCTTGAAAAAATTCAAAATTGACTCTGCCCAACCTGTGAATGTTCCCTTAGCATCCCATTTTGTGCTAAGCAAGGATCAGTCCCCAAGGACTGGTCCTAAGATAGATAGGATGAAGGCTGTACCCTATTCCAGTGCTATAGGGTCAGTCATGTATCTCATGGTAAGCACAAGGCCTGATATAGCTTATGCTGTCAGTTGCTTAAGTAGATATATGGCAAACCCTGGTATGTCTCACTGGACTGCCCTTAAATGGCTCCTTAGATACCTTAGGGGTACACCTTCTCATGGTCTTGTGTTTTCTAAAACTGAAACTGGCATTTTACTTACTGGCTATGTTGACTCCAATTATGCAAATGATAGGGACAATAGAAAGTCTACTACTTCCTACATTTTTACTCTTTGTGGTTCCTGCATAAGTTGGAAATCTCAACTACAACCTATTGTTGCACTGTCCACTACTGAATCTGAATATGTGGCAACCACTGAGGCCTTTAAAGAGGCTATTTGGCTTAAACGAATGCTAACTGAAATTGGTTTTCTTAAGCAGGCTGTGACAGTGTACTCTGATAGCCAGTCTGCTATCCAATTCTGCAAGAATCCTGTATTCCATGACAGGACCAAGCACATTGATGTCAGGTTTCATTTTATTAGAAATATTGTGGATGCAGGTTGGATAAAGCTGTCCAAGATACCTTCAGAATTTAACCCTGCATATATGGGGACTAAATGTCTCACTTTTGAAAAACTGTTGTCTTGTAAACGTATTCTTAATTTAGATTGTGGCTAGATAAGAACTGTAAAACAAGAAAAACGGCGATGATGATTCTCCCTTTCACGTTATGCTCTACACCACCAGGGGGACCAATAAGGTGGAGATTGTAGTGGTATTGGTCCACCTCACTACTGGGCCATCCCTGAGCTGCCTTTGGTCCACCTCATTTAAGGAGTTGGTCTCCTATTTAATGCCCTGTCCCAATTGGGTTGTCTACCCGACCAAGCCCATTCCTACCCTGTTTGTCTTATACCCAGCCCATCCCGTGTGGCCCTCTCTTATATTGTCTTGGTGTTCTGGAATCCTCCTATTCCAGCCTCTCCACCTTCTCTCTAAACGATGACTCTTCGGTTCAGTTACCCTAGACCTAGAGTGAGAGAGTGCCGGTTTCCTCTGAGCTTTAGCTCCGGCTTTGCTCCGGTGAAACCTTGGGGTTCCTATTGGGGTCTTCACTCTAGTCTGGTAGTGTGGTGGGTTATCTTTCCTCCGATAGGTTTTCTGGGCTGGGGTCTGGGTTCTGAGTGTGAGGGTTAGCTGGCTGCCGCCCTTTCGTCTTCCCTGGTTGTACCCCTGGTGGTGAGTGTGAGCAAGCCTTTGGGCTTTGTGGTGATTGAGGTCTGAGCCGGTCCGGTTTTCTAACATTTACGTAATTTAGCTTACAATAAATAGATTAAACAATGACTAAATAAGAGAATTTGCAAAATGAAGACTAATATGTAATACCTTTAAGTTTTATATAACTCGAGTTTGTTAACTTTTTATTTAGTTGTTCAAAAAATTGATTATTCTATTTAAAGTAAGTGATTTATAATGCTAAGTTTTTTTTATAGATACGTGAAAGAGTTCTACTAAGTAATTCATGTTCTTATATTATTAAATTTATGCCCAAGTAATGCTACAGTTTTGAAAAATTGTTTTTATGTTTTTCTTAAATAATAAGAAAGTAATCATATGATATATTATAGATATTATTATTGATTATTGATGGAGTATGTGGGACTAGACCCCAGGGCCCACATACTCGGAAGAACAGAAGGTACCACGACCACCTGGTGGGACCTCCGTCGGCCAGATGACCCCCATCGGCCAGAAAGAAGTCTACTCAGAATGTGATCCATAAGGCAAGAAGAGCCGGGTGACCTCGTCGGCCGGGTCTTCGTCGGCCATGCCCTCGTTGGCCATAGACCGCATCCAGAACAAGATTTACACTTAATCTTTTCTATGCACTTTGTATCCGGCCCATTAGTGACCCTATTGTAAATGGGCCTCCCAAGCCCAAGACTTGGGAGCTCAGTCCTAATTTTTCCTATAAATACTCCCTCTCTAGATAGCACTTATAGCACTTGGGAGTAGTTGTAGGGGTTCACAAAATCATTAATATAGAGCAATTATAGCACTTCTCTCTCTAGCTCTTCCTTCTCTCTAGATATACAATCTATCATTTGGTGCTTTCATTGAGCCACCACGACGACATGGAGCCACCACGAAATGTGAAGGAGGTACAACGGCTGACGGGACGCCTTGCGACCCTAAACCGTTTCCTCTCAAAATCGGCTGAAAGGTCTCTCCCTTTCTTTCAGATCATGCGCAAGGCAATCGGCTTCAGGTGGACGACGGAGTGCTAGCATTTAAGGAACTAAAGCGGTACTTATCGTCCCATCCGGTGCTGTCCAAACCCAAAGCCGGTGAAACCCTCTTTTTGTACTTGGGGGTGAGCACGTCGCCCATCAGCTCCGTGTTCATCCACGAAGACGAAGGGGTACAGAAGCCAATTTTCTACGTAAGCAAGACGTTGCGGGAGGCCGAGCTCAGGTACTCCCCCATTGAGAAGACGGTACCGGCCATCGTCCATACAGTGAAAAAGCTAGGGCACTACTTCCAGGCCCATGCCGTCCACGTCTTAACTCAGCAACCCCTCGGCGCACTCATGCGGAACCCCACCAGTTCCTCACGAATGGTGAAATGGGTGATCTTCCTCAGCCAGTTCCAGATCGAGATTAAGCCAAGGCCATCCCTCAAGGGGCAGGCCTTGGCCGATTTCGTCATCGAGTGCACAGCAAGGGAAACGGCCGTTACCACGCCCGGGCCAGAGCCAGACGAAGCATGGACTCTCTTCACCGACGGTTCATCGGCCACCAAAGCTTGTGGTGGCGGCGGCGACCTCATTTCCCCTGAAGGATTCAGAGCCTATTATGTCATCCGCTTCAACTTCAGGGTATCCAACAACGAAGCCGAGTATGAGGCCCTCCTCAGCGGCCTCAGACTCGCTGCCGGCCTCAAAGCACGGCACATCAGGATCAGGTGCGACTCCAAGCTAGTGGTGGGCCAGATCGAGGGCTCATACGAGGCCAAGGAAGGGAGGATGAGGCAATACAAGCAGGCGGCCGAGGAGTTGCTCAAGGCATTTGAAACCCACGAGATCACCCAGATCCCAAGGGCGGAGAATGGTGAGGCCGACATCCTCTCCAAGCTCAGCACAGACACTCCAGAGCACATCTCCAAGATAACCAAGGTCGAGGAGCTGAGCATGTCCAGCATCCACGCCAGCCCGATCACGTGCATCCAACAGCGGTCGGAGGACTCGATCACCGACATCATGACCTTCATCACCTCGGGAGAACTCCCCCAGGACGACGAGAGAGCCAAGCTAGCCAAACTAAGGGCCCCAAACTACACCATCGAGGACGGGAAACTATATAAAAGATCGTACAACGACACTCTTCTCCGATGCCTGCACCCGGATGAGGCCGAGGTGGCCATGGAGGAAGTCCACTGCGGCGTCTGCTCCTCTCATCAGGGCCCCTTTAGCATGTCCCGACGTCTCGTCGTCCAGGGCTATTTATGGCCGACGATGGCGCGGGACTGTGCCAATCTTACAATGAAGTTTTCTGCGTGCCAGGTCCTTCAGAAGGCCCCTGGTCGACCAACCGTCAACTACGCCCCGGTCAGCACCGCGATACCATTCTCAAGATCGGGTATTGACCTAGTCGGCCCCCTGCCCAGAGCCGCAGGCAACAACCGCTACATCATCGTCGCCGTGGACTACTTCACCAAGTGGGTCGAAGCGGAACCTTTGGCCAGCATCACAGGGGCCAGGTGTCAGAAATTCGTCCACAAAAACATCCTTACTCGCTTCGGCGTTCCTCATGAGATCATATCCGATAACGGCACCCAGTTCGAGGCCGCGCCTTTCCAAGAGCTCCTCCAAGAATGGAGAATCAAACATCGTTTCTCCTCCGTTGCCTATCCTCAAGGTAACGGGCAAGTCGAGAACGCCAACAGAACCATCTTGGAAGGCCTAAAGAAGAAGCTCCAGGACGCAGGGGGCAGTTGTGCCGATGAACTCTCCAATATCCTGTGGTGCTACCGTACTACGCCGAGGAGGGCAACGGGCGAAACACCCTTTGCCCTTTGCTATGGCTTCGAAGCAAAGGCACCCACAGAGGTCACCATACCCAACCGACGGGTGGAGCGTTATGAGCCTGAGGCCAACGAAGAAAGCATGAAGATTGATCTCCACCTGATCGAAGAAAGACGAGAGTAGGCCTTCATCCGGGCAGAGAACTACCGGCGTCAAGTAAAATCATACTATAAGGCCAAGGTACGTTCCCGGGAATTCCAGGTGGGGGACTATGTCCTTCGCTGAAGAGAGGCGAGTAAGCCGACGGAAGGTGGCAAGCTGGCACTCAAATATGAAGGCCCCTACATCGTCAGTGTCGTAGTCAAGCTCGGCACCTACAAACTAAAACACCCGAATGGGTCTAATGTACCACGAACGTGGAATGTACATCACTTGGTGAAATTCTATCAATAATCCGGGGACGGCGCAGCCGGCAAAGCCCTCACCTTCCCACGGATTGTTGGTCGAACGCCACCCTCGGCCTCAAGCCACTTATCAATAAAAGTTATTTTCTTACTTTTCTAAAAAGTTCAGGGAAAAGATACTACACTACACCGACCCCTCAGAATGAAAACGCTCAGGAAAGGTCAACAGAGCACACTGCCTCGGCCCCTCATAGCGAGAATGCTTAGGAAAGGCCGACGGTGTCCCCAGGATGAGGGGCCCGCAAAGAGCCCAGCCACGTCTTGAAATAGGAAGCTCACCGCGTCGTCTATCCGCGAAATGAGCAGGACGACACGTCTGAAATCATGGCCGAGGTGACAAAAATCCCCAAACTCAGGGATGAGAAACCGAAGTCATCGGTAACCGACCATACGCCTTAGCCCGCGTCATAAATAGGCGACGGGACCTCCCTGAGATCACAGGACGATCCAGTAGGACTCCTTACCGGCCGAGGGACTATCGACCCCTTTGGCCGAAGCCTGAATGAATGATACTCACTCCTCTCTCAAAAGAGTAAAGAGGAAGAATATAAAACAGGGACAACCGAAGGACCGCACACTTGTCGGCCTAAAGCGATATCCCCAAAAATAAAAGAGGGACAGCCGAAGGACCGCGCACTTGCCGGCCTGAAGCGATATCCTCAAAAATAAAAGAGAGAAGCCGATGAGCCGTGCACTCGACGGCCTCGAGCAATAAAAATAAAATCCCCAAAATTGTCTAAGTACATATCAGGCAAACATTACGCATTACGGACAAAAGCGTTCAAAAAAGAAAAGAAAAAACTTGGACAAAATTACTAAGGTAAACTCCTGGGGCCGAAAAGGGGCACCACATGGCCGACATCAGACAACCCAAAAGGGAAGCCGTCACCAGCCACTCATGAAGGAAGCAATCACCCAAGTATGTTCAAACACTTAGAAAATTTTCTAAGTATTTGGAAAAATTCTTAAGGAGCATCCAGAACGGCCGACAAGGGTCTGGTGCCCGAACAAAGCAACCATACTCTAAGCTAAAATACTTGGAGATTTCCACCAAAAGTGGGACACCAAACATTACAATAACGAAGAAGACACCCCCCCAGCTGAGCAAAGGGCAGGACCTTTCATCAGCCACAGTTACAGGAAGCAAGTTCATAGGTTCTTGCTTAACACTTAGACAAATTACAAGTGAAATAAAGGGGGTGGGGAGTGATAACAAGACGAGGAATACACAACAGCCGGAAAGGCCGATGAAAACACCTAGACATATGAAGCTACCCATCCTGGCTGCATTGGCTGACGAAGGCCCCCGAACTAAAGGGACTACTTAGTTTGACACTTAGAAAAATTTCTAAAGTGCGAACAAAAGGAAAGGGGTAACGCCAAGACGAAGCGGACACTCAATCACTTAAAGTCTGACACTTAGAAGAAATTCTAAAGTGTTGCTAAAAGCAAGGGGTGCTCCTTATGGACGAAGCATGCTCACCTAAGGTACCCGCTTCGGTCGCAGCCAGAGGAAACAACCAAAGAGAACAATTGTCTAAGTCCCAACTTAAACACTTGGAAAAATTTCGAAGAATAACAAAAGCGAAAGGAAAGGCAAGACGAGGAGGACATTATAAACATTAAGGCCGAAAGAGAAATAAATTTTCATTGATCGGATGAGAAGTACAAAGGGAACACAACGACCATTACAAAATAAAGGCGCTATAGCACCTGCCTAAACTACTGAACTACACAAAAAGAAAGCTAGTCGATCAGTTCTCTGGGGCGACTTCATCAGCATCCAGCCCCCCATCGGCTTGCTCAACAGCAGCCTCGGTGCCCTACTCCGTCCCCACATCTGCACTGACCTCGGCCACTGTGGATACAGCGGTATCAGCCAAGGCATCGTCATCGGACCAATCCGGCTCACCGATGGAGGAGCTAAGTACCCGGTCCTGCCTCTCAGAAGAGGGGAGCTTCGCTTCGGCCTCCGGGTCCTTCATCAGCCTGGGAAGCTTCAAATTCTTCTTGGCCCATTTCTGGGTAAGTTTCAACTTCTTGAAGGCGCGGTGCAACCTCCGGTAGATTAGCCGTTGCATCCTCTGCTGACCCATGTCGTAATAAATAGACATCTCCCTTTGAAAATATTCTTAGCCGGCAGGGCAGTTCTGGCCCCAGTCTTCAAGCCGATCCGCCACTACCTCGTAGTACCAGGGCCGACGGTCTTCCGCCTTCCAGCCTTCGGCCAGAAATTTCTTAATGGCGCCGTCAATAGCCTTCTCAGCAGCCCTCTCGGCGTCATCTTGTGCTTTCGCGGCGTCCTCGGCTCAGAGCAGGGCTTCATCGTGGCTCTTCAGCGCCTCATCCTTTGCTCTCAGAGCATCATCCCTATCGGCCGCCACCTGAGGCCACATCGGCCTCATCAACACCCTTCTGTAGGACCTTCACTTCTTCCCGGAGCCGGTCCAGGCAGGCCATGGCCTCCTCGGCCGAAGCAGCTTTTTGCTCAGCCTCATTCAGCCAGGCAATCTCCTGTTCCTGTCGTTTATGGCTCTCGATCAGCATAAGGGTGCCCTGCAACGAAGAAAAAACATTAGGACGATGCGAACACTCACGACACCAAAAAATGTAAAGTACAAGGAACTTACTTGGACGATAAGGTCCATCCCGCCATCGTAGATCTTGACGGGGCCAAGCTTTTTCAGATAAGCCCGGTCCTCGACTGGGACGGCTTGAGCGAGCACATCATGGCCGTCAACAGCTTCATTAAAGACGCCACCCTTCACAGGGTACTCGACTTCGAGCTTGTAAGTCCCAACGGCCAACTCCTTTCCGGCCCTCTTTTTACGGGAATCCTGGCCGACACGGAGCGGCTGAGACATGGCAGTGGACGAGGGGACTAAAACCGCATCGACGACGGCAATGGCATTGGAACCCCCCAACATCGTCGGCCGGCATGGTCAAAACCCTGGCGTCAGCATCAGCCAAGGGGGAAGCCCTCTTCGTCTTCTTAGGATGTATACCAGCCTCTGTCAGCTTCCTCTGGTCGTCATCCACTTCCGTTTCTTCTTCGGCTGCGTGGGCGGCTTCTTCGGCGCATCTGAGCTCGGCTGCGCGTCACTAGCAGCGACCAGCTTTGCGGCCTCCTTGGCGGCCATC